CGACCATCAGCATGACAGCTAATAGTTGAGCAGGAACTATGCCAGGTACTCAGTGGAGTGTCTGCCTCTCTGCGATCCCACTGTCCAGTCCCTCAAGCAGGTGCCAAGGTGCCTCACAGATGAGAAACGGAAACAAGGCAGCCAGTCTCGGGGTGTACAGTTCATTAGTGGGAAGTCTGGTTCTACATCCAGTGTGTACAACCCAAAGCAAAGGGCTTTGTTTTTTGAGACAGGGTTTCTCTGTGTAACAGTCTTGGCTGTTCTGGAACTCACTCTGTAGACCAGGCTGGCCTCGAACTCACAGAGATCCACCTGCCTCTGCCTCGAGTGCTGGGAGAAAAAGCGTGAGCCACTATACCCAGTTCCAAAGCAAATGTTTTAAAACCTAATACCCAACTACATATGTGAAATGTCTGTCTAAAGCAGGATGGAAATTACAAACAGCAAAATTACTTAAATCATATGAAAATAGTTTCACTTACTTTATGACTCAATTTCCCTACATGATTCATGCCTGTTGGGATTACTGTATTTCTCTTCATTTGGTGACTAGAACCATAACAAATTCAGTACTATAATGAATAATCTAAATTTACTAGAAGGTGAAAAGACATGAAGAAGTATATACAACACTGATGACTGAACATGCCATTACATAAAATTAAATAACTAAAACTCATATTAGAACAGCATAATTCAATATTAAAATGTCTCCTGTAAAAGTGTGAAATATCAACTGCAAGATAAAAACTGTCCAAAGTTTATAAATAACAACAAAAGCCACGATTTAAAGCAACTGAGAAAGATCAAGGACTAAGAGGAAAAAAAGAATCAAAAGGAAGGACCTTTTATTGTAAATTATAAAAAAGCACATGTTTCTTGGTGTCTTGTATTCGCATTCATTTCACATCATCTTCACAATCTGCATGGCTTGCTCTGTGTTAGCCAAAGCATTCTCCTGCAATCTACAACCACCAAAGCACAAATGCAGGAGTAAAGCATCCAGTAGGTCTTGTGAGACACATTACCACAGAAATTAATCCAATAAACCCATGAAGATTTAGTTTTCAAAGAAATAAAACAAGTAATAAAAACAAAAGCATTTTTGCCATAATTTAATCTGTCTGATGGTTCCGAGGCACCTAAAGATTGTGCTGTGGCATAATCTTCTGCTCTGTTGTATGCTGAGGTGCCTGCAACAGAGTTCTGGTTACTGAGGTCTGAAAACAGAGAGCTTTATATGTGGTTCACACAGCATCAAGTGACTACAGATACAACACAGGAATTCTGATGTATATATTTGTACAATTTATACTATGCTGAGAAAAATTTTAAATTTAAGTTACAAAATGAGTATTTTTTTAGTACATTTAGTAATGACTATTTATATAAACTATCATTTTGTTTGGGTGGCCAAATGAAATTTGAACATAATTAAAGAACATGTAACTTTTAAACAACATTTAAGGAACATAGCTATAGAACTGTTACACTGAAAGTCATGTACACGTATTCAAGAGCACTGAGGTGTCTCAAACCTGCTGTTTTGAAAGGTTTTCAACCCATCTTACTGTAAATCAATGTAAAACTTAAAAAAGCCTACTCAGGTGTTACAGCAGAATGAGGTGAACTCAATGCTGATCAGTCTGCCTAACAATCAACCACTCAATGCTGATCACTTAGAAAATCATGTTTGTTATTTGATTCTCCTGACAATCATTATAATTGAGACACATGTACATATTCAGATGTGGTTGATTCAACCAACTGCAGAGGACATTTTCAACTTAAAAGTGGCCTAAAGAAGTGACAACTAGGAATGGCCGAATCACTGTACCTGTCAGATCCTGCCTTAAATCCAAGTTTTGCTAGACTATCTGGTGCTTTTGGACTTCATAGTTGGGGTTAAAAAAAAGTTTCAGTATTCAAGCCTATCTATAGAATATCAAAGAAAAAATGTAGATATATACATTTTGATATACACTCATACATAAACACATTCACACTCACATGTCTAGAAACCAGCACCTAACCACATCCCACTCCTCACTAACTGAACAAATCATTTATTACTTTAAGACCAGCTTAGACTCTATAAGGCTATGACAGCATATGGCTAAAAGGTCAAACAAGCACCCACACAGGCTGACTGAACTTCCTCCTCATGATTTCGACAAGCAGTAATACCACTGACATGACAGACGGTAATAACTTAGGATCTGAGTATAAAACCACAGACAGGATCTCCCTCACTGATGTAAGGATCAGAGTGCATCCCACACGAGATCACTGAACCATACAAATGATCTTTACTTCTAATCTAAACAAACATGAGTCAAAACATTCTGAAACGCTGCATCCTTTGATTTCTTCATCTTTTCAATTGCCCGATGCAGGTCCTGCTGCTGCACAGGCCGGATTTCATCTTCATCATGACTAAAATGTAAACAAAACCATCAAAATGCCAAATCATTTCAGAGTACACCTACCTAAAGTATTTTACAAAGATTAAAAAGATGTAGGTGGTTAAAAATATATTCGTTTTTGATTATATGAGCATACCAATAGTTTCTTTCCCATTCAAGATCCCCAAGAGAATGACAACACATTAGAACCATTATTCTTGAAATTATCTATATACAAGAGTAAATAAATGTGAATAGAAAGTCATAAGACATGGCTTTACGATTTTTGTGTATGAGTGTTTGCTTGCATGTATGTACATTTGTACGACATGTATGTGCCTGGTGCCCTTGGAGGTTAGAAGAAGGCACCAGATTCCCTGGAACTGGAGTTACAGACAGTAGTAAGCCACCATGTTGGTGCTCTAACCCTTTTCCAAGAGCAGCCGTGCTCTTACCACTGAGCCATCTCTCCAGCTTCCTTAAAAGACACTTTAAAAAAAGCACTGAGAGCCGGGCAGTGGTGGCGCACGCCTTTAATCCCAGCACTCGGGAGGCAGAGGCAGGCGGATCTCTGTGAGTTCGAGGCCAGCCTGGGCTACCAAGTGAGTTCCAGGAAAGGTGTAAAGCTACATAGAGGAACCCTGTCTCGAAAACCCCCCCCCCCCAAAAAAAAAAAAAGCAGTAACAGGTAGCAAAGCAAAATGGCTGTGTAAATTCAATTACTTCACACCAAGAATGTAAGAAAGCACATTTTCATTAAAGAATGGCAGCTATCCAAACAGAAGCATAAATACCACCAGAAATCAAGTTACTCTTGTGAACAGAACCAAAACCTAGCATTCCTAGACATATATAATCACGTACATGTGTAGCTTTTTACAAGATAGAAATGAAACTCAACGTTCTTAAAATTAAAGAACAACTAATCCAAATCTCCTTTACTTTAATCTTAGCCAAACAAACCAACAAGCCTGGTATGTTCTGCTACTTGGTAGTTCACAGACACTTGGATGATTCAGGTCTAACAGTCAGATTTCACACTGACATTTGCAAGGCTTTTCAAGTGTTTTGCCTTTCATTATTAATGTAATTAACTTAAGCAAGGTTTAGTTTTCCTTTTAATTTCTTCTGTTAGAAAAAAGACCTCTGGGGCTGGAGAAATGGCTCAGAGGTTAAGAGCACCGACTGTTCTTCCAGAGGTCCTGAGTTCAATTCCCAGCAACCACATGGTGGCTCACAACCATCTGTAATAAGGTCTGGTGCCCTCTTCTGGTCATACATAATAAATAAATAAATCTTAAAAAAAAAAAAAAAAAAAAAAAAAGACCTTTGGAAGAAGGTTTTTTTGTTTTGTTTTTGTTTTTGATGATGTTAAAACATTCCCAACTGGCTGAAACAGCTGGAAGTATATGGCAGCACATGAATGGAATGCATCTCCCATGGGACAGGAGGGAGCGATACGGCGGTTGAGAGCCATGCTGCTGTCTGGCAGGGACTTCATACAGAAGCAAACATGAGCTTTGAGAGAAGCTCACTATGTATGACACCACACTCTACTTAGATTCTGACCACCACAGGCAAGTCAGGGTTACCTGGTATGAAAACTTCACAGTAAGAAAGAGTCACACTCCTGTAACATGACTCAAAGGTACACCACTTCACTAAGGAATTCTTTATCAGAGAGCTGACACTTTGATACACAATATACTGCCTCAGGGGAAAGGCCTTTTGGGACTCTTTCTCAAAAGAGCTAATTGAGAGCTAAGTTATTTTTGCTTGAAGTGTAACAAAAATGATTTCTCAAACTCACACACTTTAAATAGATTTCAAGTAAAACTGACTGACATGAGAAACGGTGTGTTAGTAACTGCTTGTTGCCCAGCTGAAGCCCATCCACAGCAGCCCCACACTCCTTATGTGTGAAGCTCCTGAAGATAACACACTCCTTTCTACTGACTGAGTTGAAAGATGCAGACACCATCTATAGGTTCTAGAGAATCCTATTTTCCTAACAAAGAAGGTAAGCCTGCAATTTTGCCCCTTAATTCTAGAATATCCCTACAGTAATTTCTCCATTTGCAGAACTTGCTTGCCATGAATGCATGAGGACCTGAGTTTGATCTCATAGTGAAAAAAAAAGCGTGTGCATGTGTGTGTGTGTGTGCGCGTGCATGTGTGTGTGTGTGTGTGTGTGTGTGTGTGTGTGTGTGTGTGTGTATGCGTGTGTGCGTGTGTGTATGTGTGTCTGCCTGTAATCCCAGAACTGGGAAGGTGGCGACAGAAGGACCCCTGAGTTTGCTGACCGACCAGTCTAGCAGATTTAGAGACCTCCGAGTTCAGTAAGACCCCTATCATCTCAAAACCTAGGGTGGAGAGCAATTGTGAGACACCTAATACCAACCTGCATACACACAAATGAACATGTATACATATACATACATAAACACATACCAAAAAATGGCAATAAATAAAGGAGGGAAGGAGTTGCTAATTCAATTATCTTTTTCTATAAGTAGGCTGGAATAAAGCAAAACAACAACCACCATCTAATCAAAAAGGTTTGACAAATAGCAGAAATCAAGTCTAAATAGTTACCTTTCCTCTGATGTAGAATTGACATACTCCCTGACACAGAGGAGGGCAGCATCTCGACACATTTCTTTTAGGTCACTTCCTGAAAACCCATCAGTTTCCTGGGCAACTTCTAGAAGATCTACATGTCTATCCACCTTAAATAAACATGAAATATGCTTACAATAAATATACAAAATTAAGCAAAATATTTCTAAATATCCATCTGAGAGTTAATGTTTAATTTGTCATATCAGCCAAGAGAAACAGAAAAGTATTGTTAGTTCCATAAAAACTTAGAAATTAAAAATTTTAATTTTCAAAAAGAAATCTAATTTTCATTGTCACTACTACTGAAACATGCCTAAGTGTCTTTACTGGAAGTGTCTTTACACTTAAAATTCCTTTGAAGTGTAATGCTTTAACATTCTGTTACCTCAATACTAATTTAATTTAGTACTTGTTTTGTACTTCCATCTAAGCTTACAGTAAAGCCCATTAACAGGTTTGAGGGAATTTAAAACACATAAAAAGGGGCAAAATTGCTTATGTGCAGACAAAGAAGAGAAAATAAACAAGGAAATAATTTATTTGTGATTATCATCTATGATCTGAGCTCTCATTTCCATAAGCGCCTTATGGGTATCATTTTCACTTAATCCTGCAAGTAAGCTGAGCAATTTTCATATTCTGTTAATAGTCTGGAGGCCAGGCAAGGGTAGACAGGTTATAGAAGTAGGATCTGTATAGGCAACAGACGTTCAACCCTATTTTCTCCCCATATACACATCTGCCATTGTGATTTTCTTCACTCCGGTGAAATGCCACCTTTATTAGTTACTCAATTTCTAATTGTGAAGTGTTTTGTTTTAAGAATAGTAATTCTAAACAAGGACAAAAGACAAAGGAAGCTGGGTGCAGGGGCACATGCCTGTTAACTCCATCACCTCAGCAAACAAGATTCGGGAAATTGAAGGCTAGCCTGAGCTTCCTAAGCAGCCAAAAAATGAGTACTCTTCTCAAACAAACGAATTTCAAAAGGAGACATGAGGATATTATTCATTTCATTAAAAGAGCTTGGATGGGATCTTCCCCTTTTTTTCAGGTTTATAGAATAATTTGACAAGTACTGGCTTAAGTTGTTCTTTGAAGGTCTGAAAGAATTCCGTGGTGAATCTATTTGGCCCTGGGCTTTTTCAGTTGGCAGACTTTAATTTTTTTATATTTCACTTCACATGTATGATGGTTCTGCCTGTATGTGTACTATGTGTGTACCTGGTGACCATGGAAGTCAGAAGAGGACATCGGATCCCTGGGAACTGGAGTTAGGATGGTTATGAGCCATCATGTGGATATAGGGACTGGAACCTGGTCTTCTGAAAGAGCGACAAGCATTCTAAACCACTGAACCATCTCTCTAGCCCCTATTCGGGAGATTTTTAACTACTGCTTCAAGTGAACTGCTTGTTATAGAGCTGTTTAAGTTATTTCCTGAATCTTGATTTAAATTTAGTAAATCATATAAAAAATTCACCTATTTCTATTATGTTTTCTAGTTTGGTAAATAGTTTTAAAACTATGCCATCAGGATTTTCTCAATTTCCTCAGTATCTGTTGTAATGTCTCCTGTCTCATCTCTAATTTTATTAATTCGGATCTTTGTATTAATTTTTTGTTTGTTTGCTTCTATTTCATTAGTCTCTGTCCTGATTTTAGCTATTTCTCTTGGTCCACTGCTATTGAGATTTTTTTTTATTTCTTATTTTTCCAATGCCCTAAAGGCATCATCAGGTTATCTGAGATCTAATTTTTAACGTAGAAACTTAGAATTGTATATTTCCTACTGTCTGCTATGTAGCTATGACCTTCAAATTACAGTGTCATCTTCCTTAAACGGAAATGTAAATGACAAGATGTTATTTATCTTGGAAAAAAAGGAAACTGAACTTAGAGGCTAAGAGAACTGTTTAAGAAGCAACACACACACACACACACACACACACACACACAAATAAATACTAAATAAATTTCCTTTTAAAAAGGAAAGAATGATAGGCTATCCTAACAACAATCTTTTAATTTAGGGTACAGAAAGCAGAAGCAATATCCTAGCTAAGAACTTGTTAGACGTAGGGAATGTGTACAACTAGGCTAGAAAGAGGGCAGAGGTTGGATTTTACATATGCATATCATAAAATGTTAAGGTTACTACCAAGAGTATGTAAGTCCAAAATCAGTACAGGAAGAGAAGAAAGGAAATAGGAAATGTAAATATACTGATGCACTGAGACTGCAGTGGGGGTAGAAAGCAAAAACAAGGCACATTTCAAGGAAAGAACTAATTAAAGACAAACCAGATCAAGCTCATAATAAGAACAAATGCAAACAACTAAACTAAAGCAAGATTATAATACAATAAAAATGTGGCTGAGTATTAAGGCAGTCACATATACTGAAAGAAGCAGGCTCTGTGTTACACTTGAAAGAAAAACTATATAGTTGAAAACAAATGCTTAAAAACAATATGCAAGGCAAATATTAAATGAAATGACCAAGATGTTCTTTTAGTTGCATTAGATCAGATTTAAGTGCACTAGAGTACAATCTTTTCATAATGCATATTTAGGGAAATGTCATTGCATAACAAGAAAAACTTCACTAGAAAAAAAAATCCTTCTGTACCTACACATACACCTATCATTTCAGAATATAAGCAGCAAAAATTAACTAAGAAGCAAATGAACAAGCCACAATACTAACATGTCTTGCTTATATGCTGATAGGTCACACAATGAAGTCTGAGTCTACTTAGCAACATGCAAGCATGATAATGCTGCCTTTATTAAATGTATGCTATCAATGTGAGACTTTTAAAAACAAAACTGAATGAATTTTAGATTTTACTAAAGCAGTATTACGCCTTTGTCATATTAAAAACCAGTAAAAGAGAAATGAGACATTTGCAAGTCAGCAATTAATCAAGGAACATTCATATTTTACATTATAAACTGATTAAAGACTAATACGTATGCTTTCATAAATACAAAACAGAATGCTAAAGTCTCTGTACACACAACAAAAATAATTCTAAAAATTTCCAAAGACCTTATTGTATCTAAAAAAAAATTTTAAGACCACTAAAATTGGTTTAAATTACATGAGTCATTTCTTAAGTTTAAATGAGACAAATACCTTAAATTTAATCATTTATATTCACCATCTATATGTAAAACATCTACACCAGCCTACATATGTTGTTCAAAAACATTAAGTTACCAAGCATGGTGGCACATCTTTGGCAGGCAGGTCTCTGTGAGCTCAAGGCCAGCCTAATCAAGTTCCAGAACAACCAATGCAGTGAGACCCTGTCACAACAAACAAGTAAAAAATGTTGGCCTGGTGGTGGATGGCTCACGCCTTTAATCCCAGTGCTCAGCAGGCAGAAGCAGGCGGTTCTCTGTGAGTTTAAGGCCAGCCTGGTCTACAGAGCAAGTCTGGGGCTACACAGTGAAACCCTGTCTCAGGAAGAAAAAAAAGATTAAAAAACAAAAAAAATTTTCCTGAAACTATATAAAACATTTCATGACTATATGTAGATTTCTTAGGAAATGCTATCTAGCTTTTATCTTGATGATCTAAACTGATATGTTCCTTCAACTTCTATATACAGTATACAGAATTGCTAGCGTGGACACATGACAAATTCTAGTGATGATGGGAGGTGTTTGGTCAATGATAGAACCATCATGGATGTATTAATGTTACCTGTCAATGAGTTAGTACCAAATTTCAAGTTTGGGATTTTAATTTTTTATTTTTGCTTTATTTTTGATAACCTGCCCCTGGGCTTTTCATGAAGTATCAGAACGTGACCATGTACTGTCATCACACACTTGAACTTTCTGACATCCAGAATTGTGAACTAAATATTCTGATTGTGAACTATTACATTCTGATACAACAGCAGAAAATGGCCCAACATGAAACAAATTAGGGTGCTGGAGAGATGGCTCAGTGGTTAAGCAGAGTGCTCTTGCGGAGGTCCAGGGCTCCATTTCCAGCACTGACATGATGGCCCCAACTGTAACTCCAGTTCCAGTTGTCAAACTGTCTCCTCTGTCCTCCACAGGCACTCACACTTAAGTCATGCAGGCAAACCAACCACACCCATAAAATAATAAACCTTTTTTCTTTAAAAGAAACTAATTAAAGCACTGCTTCTAAAGAAAACAAAATTCGACAAAAAGGTGTAACCAGAAAGAACTTCACTGTCATAAATGATGATCCATCGAAAATACTAATGTTTTTGTTCTTTAGTAAGACAATCTGATTCTAAAATCCTCATAGGAAAAAATAAAATTTTCCTGAAGGACAGAAAGGTCCACCAATACGAGAGGTTACAGCTGTCTCCAGGTGAAGACAATGTGGAGCTAGCACAAAAAGACACAACAGCCCCTCAACCATCACCACACACCTGTGGCAGGGGAGAGAGCTGGCCCTGGGGTCACAAGAGTGGGAGAGCTGGTCCTGACCCTCACTGGCTACAGTGCTTCTGGTCTGGGCAGCACACTAGAGGTGATCCTGTTGTTAGGGACACAGGTGGGCCAGCCCCGAAAGCGTGAGAACAACCAGCAAAGCTGACTCTGGCCCTCCCTCATCTGTCATGTGGTGGTATGGGGGAGGGAAAGATGCCCTCCCCACTCCACGCCCTTCTACCTCTGGCAGGTGAGAGAGCTAGCCCCAGGGCTATGATAGTAAGAGAATTAGCCCAGCTCTACACCACCTCCAGAGCACAGGAGAGCGGGGTCTGCACCCTGCCTGGGCAGCACACTAGAGCTGACCCTGTTGTCCGGTTGCAGCTGAGCCAGCCCTGAGTGTGTGAGAGCAGGAAGCTGACACTCCCATGTGCCCCCTGCAGCGATCAGGAAAAGAGGGCCCTGCCCCTTGCCTGGGCAAAACAGCAGAGCTGGCGCTGGGGATACAAGTGAAGGGGAGAGGGATCTGAGGGCCCGAGAGCAGGAGAACTGGCCCTGCTCCCTGCTGTAGGCTGCAGTGGGTGAGCTAGCCTGGGCTGTGCTAGAGAGCTCATCCAGGCAGTGACAATGAGAGAAAGCTAGAGACCTGACCAGCCCAGCTACCACCCAGGCCCAGAACCAGGGCTATGAGTTGGCCACCCCAACATCCACATTGTCTATGAACTGTTGAGCATGTGAAGAGGATGAAGCTTCAGATCCAAAACAGCAGGATCTCCACGACACAGGACAACAACGGGATATCCAAGAGGAGCCCCAGGGAGGACCCTTTATTGGTGATGTGGCAGAAACCAGAGGTCTCAAGGCAGCCCAATGAATCATGGCAATGAACACATGTAAGTAAAGATGAGCAGACTAAGGAGTAAACTGTGTGTCCCAATGGGCTACACTACAGCTTCCACAAGAAGTTTTGTTTTGTCTCTGTGTTTAGTTTAGTTTTTCTTTTAAATTTGGTTTTGTTTTGCAGGAGATTGCAAGGGCAGTGGGTGGTTCTAGAGGACAGAGAGATAAGTGGGATCGAATACATGATGTGAAATCCAGAATCAATAAAAGTAAAAAAACAAACCCCACAAAGGCTGAACAAACTAATCAGCTGATACAGTCTAGGTTTTCTTTTTTTTCCCCCCTATTAAACCAGAAGCAAAATTTATTCCAGAAAAATAAAAATAAATTAAAATTAAAATAAAACACTGCAGGGCACAAAAGCTTATCAGCTAGCTGAGACCACAGCCAATGTTGGAATTCTGGGCTGTGGCAGTGATGGCAGTTAGTAGCCCCCTTTTATAGTATCAGGCACGGGGTGCATGCTAGGAGTCATGTAAAAATAACTATAAAAGTTAACTTTGGTCCAGGCAGTTGTTGGCTATAAGGAACAAGGGGGTTAAAAGTTAACCCCTGGCTGTTGACAGGGGAGCTGGCTGTAAAGCAGACAGCCATGGTAGGCAGTTAACCCTTAGAGCTGATGATTGTCAGTTTTCATCTCTTAAGCTTATAATTTTATGATATGGATTTCAGTACAGATTGGTAATACTAATGTATCTAAAACTTTTATGTCATTTTTGTAAGATAGTTTGTGTAGGCCTCAGAGGATTAAAAGAGTCGTAAAACTGGGATTCACTTCACAGAGGTTGGAAGGACCCCAGACAAGTACAACTTATTCCTAAAGATGGTATTTTTTTCTCTCTCTTGGTCTTGGGACTCCTGCTATTCCCAATTACTAAGGACATGGGTCTAAGGGTTCCAAATAAGTTCATAAATGTTAACTTCTGTTCCTAGTTGAAAATTGTCTCAACAGGTTTCCACTTGGCTGACAGACACTCCAAGCTTCAATTGCTGACTGCACTGCTCTGGACTTACTAAAAGCTGATGTGGACCAGCCCAGCCAGTGTAAATGCTCCTTGTCTCCAGCTGGGTCAAATCAGATGCTTCTGATAAGTGCCCCATTGCCTAAATTCCCTCCTTACCTGTGACTAGCCTTTTTTAGCCTTCCTGGGCCCTCACTAACTACACTCTGATTCAGCTTGAAGCAGCTGTAGAAGAGAATACATCATCCCTGCTCCCAAAACAGGATAAATAGGCCAAGTCAAAGGAAAACTCCCTGACACAGGGGAGTCAAACTGGGTAACTATAATGCCCATTGATATACCAAGAAAATGGGCCCAGAGTTATCAACTGATAGATTCATTAATTAAAATGATTCTACAGTAAGATAAGACATTTAACTTTCTTTATACGGAACCAAAAAGGTTATTATATGGCTTAAAATTATTATTTTATATAAATCATTCAAGATTATAATCTGGTTTATATTCAGACCTAAAAGAATCAAAGGTTTGATTCTGATGATAACTTGAGCGGGGAACAAAGGGTCCAGGAACATAAAAACAGTCTAGGTTTTCTTTCTAGGTTTTCCACTAAGGGAAAGCCACATGCTCAGTCCCTGGCATTGGGATAGCTAAGCATCCACTCAGAAAAATGGTACAGCAACATTATAGTTTAAAATCCACATGAATTCCAAATATATCAAAGATTTAAAAACTTAAGACAAAGCCAGAAAGCAGAGGCAGGAGGATCTCTGTGAGTTCAAGGCTAGCCTGATCTACAGAGTGAGTTCCAGGACAGCCAAGACTGCTGCACAGAGAAACCTTGTCTCAAAAAATAAATGAATGAATGGATGGATGGATGGAAGGAAGGAAGGAAGGAAGGAAGGAAGGAAGGAAAGAAGGAAGGGAGGAAGGGCAATAAAGTAAAAACAAGAAATAAAATAGAAAACAGAAATAAAAATACAGCATTAAAGTAAAAACAAGAAACAAAATGGAAAACTTTAAAACATATTCTTACATAAGCATAAAATGTTGTGAAAAATACCACAGTATTTTAATCTGTAAACACACCGCTCTTTAAAAAACTACTACAAATATATTGTATTTATTGAGTTATGTAACAGTGCAGAATTTACTAATAATTTAGGTGAAATTTAAAGCTACATTATTCTCAGGTACCTTCTTCGTTTCTTTCTAAAATGACCTTACAAACAAAAGCATATTTTAGGATGAGAATAAATCATAATTCTCTACTTACATTTTCATTTTTCAGGATGAGTTTCAAGATTGCTTCTCTTTGTTTTAGAGCCTAAAACCAAAAAATTTTCCAATTAGCATTTAAAAAAACCTACTGGCCAACTAATTTTTGGTTTTCCTTTGTAAATTTTTGCATAATAACTGATAGGAAATGATAAGCTGGTAGAGGTTAAAGCAATGTATCATACAAAGCTCTACAGTAACCATCTGAGTTAGTCCAATAGATTCTGTTTCTCATTCATGTCTGGCAAATACACCCTTAGTATTTATTGAGTAAAATAACAATGTCTTTCCCATTTTTCTGACACAGAATATGCCTTACTGGAACTTACTGTAGAAAGGCCTGTGGCGATTGTTTTGCCTCTATCCCACACGTGCTGAGCCTATAGGCATGTATGACCATGTCAGCTTTCCCTATACAGTCCTAGTCTTCATTTTTTCCTTTATTAAATTTATGAAAGTTCATCATCACAAAACACCTTTGAGTTAATTTTTAATTAAGGCTTTTTTTTGTTTTAAAAATTAGCATACAAAGTAACTGTATCATGGCATTTCATACATATGTCCTTTTCATTAATAATTGGAAAACACGGTAATACTGTCTTGGTTCCTCCACTTCAATAAAAACTTCTGTGCTCATTAATATTAGGATGTAAATGTTAATGATTTCCTTCAGTGATACATCATATTTTCACATCAGAGAACAGAAACTATACTTAACTCATTTTATAAAATGACATAAAGCTGGTTGTGCTGGAGCACACCTCTAATACAAGCACTTGGAAGGTGGGGAAAGGAGGATGAAGACTTCCAATCATCCTCAACTACACTGTGAAGTCAAGGTCAGCCTGAGCTACATGAGAACCTATCTAAACAACAATAAATGAAATAAGGAATACCTTATAGAAATCATAATAAACAAAGGAAGGGATACCTTACATAAAAATAGATGGATTTTAAATTTGTTATAGCTAAGTTCATTCTCATTAACGTTAAGAAAATATTTTGAACTCATTATAAAATCACTTGGTAAGCAAAATGAAATTCTGTTGTTGCCATAACTTGTGTATCAAACAGAAAGGTCAGTTTGTTGTATTACATAATCATCAACAACTACCTTTTAATTAATAAGTATTTTGTTTGGAGAAGAATTTTAAGATAAGTTTAATATTCTTTGACACTGTAGCTAACACGAGAAAGAATTCCCCTCTCAGGTGTAGTAACTGAAAATGAACAATGACAAAATTCCAGTCTGTATATTAACAGTATACAAATCTCTAACAAATCTGATGAAACCTGCTGTAATTCATTCTGATAATGCACACGGTATTACATTGACAGTTTTAATAACCACTACTTCTGTATTGTATCCTATTTTTATACAACAGGCACATCAAAACTCTTAGCTGTATTTAGATTTACATTTCAATTTTTAATTTTTTTTACTCATTTTTTTAAAAACACATTCATTTTAAGGAGAAGTACACATGGAGGTCAGATGACAGCTTTGTATAATGTGTTTTCTACTTCTACTACATGGGTCCCCAAAATTGTGTCTTCAGGTTTGGTTGCCAGTGCCTTTAACCACTAAGCCATCCTGTCAGTCCTACAACTGAATTTCCAATACAGATCACTAATCTTGGTATTCAGAATCATATAAACAAATGTTCTTTATATTAGTCTAATATCTTGCTTGAAAAACTAGAGAATGTACACAAAGTCCATCTAAACAGCCGCAGTCTACCTTTCCCAACTTACATCCATCAGTTTTCTTCAGTGCTCTAAGGGAACTACAAACCCACCCACTAACCTACTTCCACACGTTCTTAACTTTGCTCACTGACAGGAAGGCTTGTCTTGTCTCATTTACCTACAACATTCCTACATCCTTAAGGCCCAACAAGTTTGTGTAAATCCCACTAACTCCATAGAACAGTTAGCTTTCATTATCATTTCAGACTCACACAGCTCTGTATCCCTATCTTGAAAGCACATTTTACATTATTTACTTATGAGTCTGCCTCCCCTGCAACCGAGTTCTCTGAGGACACGAGCTGTCTTCCATCACTGGAGCCCAGCAAATGACATACATTAACACTCAATAAGTATTAGTTACAGTCAATACAATTATTAGTTTTCTATATCTTTAAAAAAGACCTCATTGATTTATCAGGCAATTTTCCAATGGAATGAAAGAACCACACGTGCTGGCTATAGCACGTGGCCTATCAGAGTAATTTTACAGAGCCCACAACCTTCAACTTTTAGGAGCCCATTTTCACTGGCTCACCTGAATCTGATCACTTACAGAATTTAAGTGGGATAAATGATCTAGCCAAAGATTATAATGGAGTTTGGTGAAAAATTCTAAGATTATGAATGGAGTTAGAATGGAGTTAGAATATTTTCATTACAAAATCTGAAAGGAGTAACTACCTAAATTCCCCTAAGTGCCTATAAATACAATATGCTGCTCATATGGAACACATTTTCTACCATGAGAACCTAGTGCTTTCAATAAAAAAAGCTGACTAAAGCCAGGTGGTCGTGGCACACGCCTTTAATGCCAGCACTCAAGAGGCAGAGCCAGGCGGATGTCTGTGAGTTAGAAGCCAGCCTGGTCTACAGAGGGAGATCCAGGACAGGCACGAAAACTACACAGAGAAACCCTGTATGGAAAAAAGCTGACTAAAGTCACAATTATATGATTTCCTACAGAAACTATAGGGTGTTAAGAAGTTGTAACAACCTACTTGAGGGTACGTCTTAACAAAAAAAAAAAATGCTAAAAAAGACAGCAATGAAGAAGGGTGTAGTAGTTCATTCCTGTACATCAGCACTTTGGAAAGTGAGGCAGCGAGAGGATTGCCCCAAGTTTCAAGTCACAGAGTTAAACTCTAGTCTCAAAACCAAACCAAAGTAGTGAAGGTGGAATGCCGTCCACACTTGACCTTCCTTAGCTAGAGCACAGCAGAGTGGTTCCAGAATCATTATCCATCAGAGAGAAGCTCCAACTAATTGTTAATAATAAATCACAGTTGTTCTTCAGGCTAGGTATTCAGAAAACAACGGTCCTTTAACTTCTAGTTCCCAAATTCAACTGTGTTCATCTAAAACTTCAATTCTATTTTCTTCTGTGTGTTCCTAAGGTAAACTACTAAATAAAGTATGCAGGCAATTTCAAGTTAATTATCTTCTTGGGGAAAGAGCAAATGCACTGATCTTATTTAAAGAAAAGGAGTCAGAAAGGGCACAGCCTAGTGGAGTTTCTTATACCTCTCTTTTTCATAAATAAATCCAAAGAAACAAAACAATTCTTCTTAAAAACCTATTTGAAAGGCAACTATTTCCCTTTACAAAATATAATTAAAACTACTTACAGGCTGGTTGATATGAAATCTTGTAGGCATTCTTCTCATTATAGCCGAGTCAAGGTCTTGAGGGCGATTGGTAGCTCCCATCACTATGACCTAAACATATAAAGACAAACAAGGCATTAAACTCTACCAACAATAAATATTCTCTGAGGTCCTTATCATTAAGACTTACAAATGGCTTTTAAACTAATCTTTTTAAGAGAAATCTCACTGTAACCCAGCATTAGTCAAATGTTTATAAGTAAAACTGAAGTTAATCATATATTTAAAAAGAAAAATCAAACAACAGCGTATCTGGAAAGACTAGTGAAACACACTTGATGTCTAGCAACTAAAATATCTACTCTTTAGTTATAAGAACCATTATTGAATAAGTGCAGACTTATTTATTTATTTATTTATTTAGTATGTAGGCAATGGGTGTTCAGCCTGCAGGCCAGAAGAGGGCACCAGATCTCATTACAGATGGTTGTGAGCCACCATGTGGTTGCTGGAAATTGAACTCAGGACCTCTGCAAAAACAGCCAGTGCTCTTAACCTCTGAGCCATCTCTCCAGCCCGAATAAGTGCAGTTTTTAAAAATGCTTGTATTTCATAAAAATATGGTCAATGAGTACCTATACATACACACACACACACACACACACACACACACACACACGAGTACCTATACATACATACACACACACACACACACACACACACACAAACAAGTATTATAAAAATGTTAAAATGATTTGTATTTTATAAAATATGGTTCCCTATTAAATGAATACATCTTGGGAATGTGAGTGGAAGGGTCCCTGTAAGTTCTTTCATAATGTTATGAAACAACCATTTCCCCGTAAGTATGAAGATTCTGATGGCAGTAATATATATCAGTTGCTGCTGCTTCTTCTAGGTTTCACATCATCATTTCACTATACTACCGGCTCTGTGGGTGTTAAGCTAAATTTAAAAACTGTAGAGAATTTTTGTTTGAAGTTTCAAACAAAAGCTGGGTGTAAAAGAAAACATCAAATTGCTGGGCAGGGGGCTCTGGGGCAACTCAGTAGTAGAATGCTCGCCTAGCATATGTGAGGCTCTGTGATCAGTCCCCAGAACCCTGAAAGAGACAAATGAAGAAAAGGAGAGGGAGGGAGACTGAATTTTAAAAACAAAAGGAAAAATACACTGGTGGCCCTACTAACTTCTATGTATACTTATAAAAGATGCAGAGATGAAAACACAATTTTAAAAACCAATAGAATTAAAGACAAAGATATTCAAATCAAGAAAATTTCTTTCTTTCTTCCTTTTTTTTTTTTTTGGTTTTTTGCTTTTTTGAAGCAGGGTATCATTATATAGCTCTGGCTGTCCTGGAACTATGTAGACTAGCCTCAAACTCACAGAGATCTGCCTGCCTCTGCTCTCCAGGGCTTGTATAAAAAACATACACCATCACATCTGGTGAAAATTTCTTAAAGATATCAATAACCTAATGACAGCATAGATCTACTATACAAAATTAATTTGTTATTATATAGGAGTATATTTACTTAACCTTACTTTATTTCTGTCTGACAGTTTTAGATTTCTCAAGTAACTCTAGAGCAAGTTTTTAAAATATCTATCAAATTTTATCTATTTTTCTCTTTACATTTAATGATATTCAAAATCACAGAGCAAAATTATTATTAATTAACCAAGTCTGCCACCTAGAGGGAGGAACATGTAACTACAAATACACATTGAAGTTCCACAACATTGTGCAATTCTGTGTAATAATCAAGTGGTCTTAATCCCCATATTCATTTTCCTTTGATTTCCTACAATTTATTTGAGTAAAGTGATTGAAAAGAATTTAAATATTTACCAAATGTAAAAGAAAACTTAAAAGTGACTTAATGAGCTAATAACAGAATAAGGAAAAAACACAAAGAGCTGGTCATGGTCTCCTAAGTGCTTTGACCCCATCACTTAGGAGACAAAGGCAAAGCCAGGCTGGTCTACAGTGAGCTCCAGACCAATCAGGGCTACACAGTGAGACCCTGCCTCATTTAAAACAAAATATAGAGGGATGTTTTGATATGCTATTAGGAGGAATGTGAACTAATATTGAACAAAGCTTGTTGAAAACATTTGAAAGCAACAAACATCTTCATTTCTCCCCTCAAACCAAACACATCTTAATGAAAACAGTAACTGCTACTTGTAAAAAGAGAATTGTGGTTTTCTAACCAACTAAAATTGCACACTAGAACCACCCCGAGCTGAGGAACTCAGATGAAACGTCCCTGGAGACCCCTCAACTGCCTATGCCTTCTGCTCTAGAGGCCTGAACACCGAACTCTGAAAAGGTAAATCTTCACACATCTCTGACATAACCTAACCACCCAACATTCAAACACATTAAACATCACTATTTAGAAAAACTAATTTTGGGCAGCTTATAAGGTATTTCCATTAATAAATCTTACACTTTTAATTTTTGAGATGGGGTCTCTCTGTAATCTTTGCTGACCTGGAGCTCACCATATAGACAGGCTTGGCTTCTAACTCATAAAGATCCACCTGCCTCAGCCACGCAAAAACTGGGGTTAAAGGCATGTGCCACCATGCCCAGCTTATTTTTAAGACAGGGTCTTACTATGGAGATATGACTGACCTGAACTCATGAAGTAAATCAGGCAGGCATCAAACTAGTGATTCTCTTACTTCACCCTTCTAAATGCTGAGATTACAGGCATGTGCCACTGGCCTAGGCCAATCTTATACATTCATTAGAGCCAATTATTAATAGAAAATGTTTCCATAACTATTACCCACATTTATGGTGTTATTTCTTCTCTAACCATTATACTAAAGGCTGATCCCCTCATCATAAAACTGTATTTCAAAGAGGTGATGAAAAAGGAGGACATGTGATTTCATTTTCCTGAGAATGATATGGTTCTGACTTCTAATTTATGGTAATAGGGTGAAATTAAAGAGATTCTTAGGTGATATGGCAAATGTATATATAAATTTGAAGTGCACATCAGACAAATCAGGTCTGGGAAATTTATGAGAAATAAATAGATAAGGCCAGGACTCATGAGAAAAATGCTGAAGTGTTTGAAAAGCCATCCAGTAGAAACAGGTCTTGACTCATAGGTAGCAAACACATGTGCAGAGCCAGGGAAACGGTTCAGTGGTGAGGACATTTGTCACCAAGCCTGAGTTAGAATCCTGCGTACCTACACAGTAGAAAGAACCGACTCCTGAAAACTGTCCTCTGACCTCTACATGCATGCTGCAGCATGAATACTCTCCCTTTCTCATACTAAGTATTTTTTAATTAAAACAAAAACACATATACATAGAAACACACAACATCTGAGACTTCATAATTTGCAGCCAACTAACATGGATAATTCTTGAATGTGTTTGTAATGAAAGAAAAAAAAGGCCGGGCAGTGGTGGCGCACGCCTTTAATCCCAGCACTCGGGAGGGAGAGGCAGGCGGATCTCTGTGAGTGCAAGGCCAGCCTGGACTACCAAGTGAGTCCCAGGAGAGGCACAAAGCTACACAGAGAAACCCTGTCTCGAAAAAAAAAAAAAAAAAAAGAAAAAAAAATGTGGCATGTGCCTGTAATTCCTGCCCTTGGGAAACAGGCAGGACGATTTAAAGTTTGAAGCCAGCCTAGATGACAAAGGGTTTGTCATCCTGACTTGACAGTAGTTTTCTCCCTTCCACTGCACTTGTATCTAGCATATAGGCAATTTATTAGTATTTTATTACATATAAAGCCCTCAAAGTAGGTGAGATTTCACTTGCTTTTTTTATTTTTGCATTGCAATGATGGAGATTGAACTCAGGGCCTGTAAACACTAAATTACATCCTTAGTCCTTGATTTTCCAGATAGGCCCCACTGTATACCACAGGCTGGTCTGCAATTGAGGATGCCCTCCTCAGTTTCATAAACATTGGAATCACAAGCTTGTAGTACTATACCAGCCAACATTTTTTTTTTTTAAGGCAAGAGCTCACCATGTAACAAAAGCTAGCAGTGACTTTCGAAATCCTCCTGTTCCTACCTTCCCAATGCTGGAATTACAGGTAGACAACAATGATCATTAACTCAATTGCTGTCATTAAAAAAAAATATGTGGGCTGGAGAGATGGCTCAGAGGTTAAGAGCACTGCTTGTACTTCCAGAGGTCCTGAGTTCAATTCCCAGCAACCACATGGTGGCTCACAACCATCTGTAATGAGATCTGGTGCCCTCTTCTGGC